ATTTTAAAAATCAAATTTTGAGAAAGTTCTTTTTTTGTGCAGAATTTAAACCTATTCCTAACCCTCAACGATACAAACTTCCGATCCGTGGATATATAGAACTGAATAAAGAACTGCTGATGCAGTTTCGAATAAAAGGCAAATAGAAGCTTCCAATATACCCTTAGCCCACAAAAGGGGGACAAAATTGGTCCGAGGCTCACATAATCAGATCCATTTTCCGTCCCGTGATTGAGCCCGTTTCTCATCAGGTTCCAAGAGGAAGAGAGCGATTCAATGCGAGGTCTTGACGAATGCTTTTCATTCCAGTGTCGTATGTGTAACCGAAACTCAATATTCAACCTATTGGTAGCATTGCTTGTCTCCGTCTGCCTTTGATCAAAGGTATACGATTTGATCGGATTTTTTTCTTCTCCATGCCCTTCGTTGATCACGCGTATCAAACTGGGAAGTAATGACAAAAAACAAACGCATCTTTTTGATGAACGTCTTCCCGAAGCTAGTCGATTTTATTTTCACGGTCTGGTAGGCATTAGATCAAATCACGCTCAGGAATAGATCAGAAAGGAAGGTCAGTATTAGGGTTAGGGTGGGAAAAAGGGTCAACCTATGGATTTTGTTCGAAAATCAAGGGAGTATAAAAAGCCACGCTGCATAATGTCGTAATCATCTCGTGGATAATCACCCAGTCCAGAAACCAATCAATAATCAACAAAGATTTCCACTGGATATGTGCCAAAGAATGCAAGAAAATGACCATCAGTATAGAAGATACACATAATACATGGGGAAATATGATGATACAGTAAAATACTTCATTTTAATGGTTCATTCTTTGGATTTGCATGTAAAACGCTCAAATCAATCCAGCTTTGATTCGTGATCGAATTGAAGAACTATTGTACGTATATGACTGATTTTGAGTTATCTATAATGAAGTGCAAGTATTGCTTCAAACTCGTTTTTTTCACAAAACTTTCAGCCATGCAACGTAAAAAAAACATAAATTATTTTCTCTTTGCTGGTGGTAATCTTTTTTATTGCACGATATGATCATACTGATGCGAATAAAACCGTTAAATAGGCCTACCCTCATAATAATGTTTTATACCTGTGCAGGAAAATGAAAGGGATCGAGATTTGATTAGCTGTACTGTACTGTACAGTAACTTTTTATAGCGTGGTACTTCAAACGGTTCAGGAGATACTGTAGCTATAAGTTAAAATAATATATCCATGTATTGTTTCGGTCCAGCACACCGTATATATTTATTTTTAAAAATCGCAAATATTGGATGCAAGGAACTGTTTTATCAAATATTTATTAGAAATGGAAAGGTTTAATTATGATTCTGTGAATTTCGATGATAGCGGAATGTTGATATCTGAAAATTCCCTCTCAGCACAAAAGCGTTCGGCGGTACTTTCTCATTACTTAAATTTTGTTTTTCACACAATATTAGTTGTACTGTATTATTATGTCATCTGAAGCTGGCTTTGAGTTTAAAAATGCAATATGATTATCCTGCTTGCGTGGCTTTATGATTAATGCCTCATTTTTTTCCGCGTGCTGGTTTTCTCCTCGTGCCCCCCTTTTATAGGTTCCCGACGCTTTCCATTTCCGTCGTATATTGAGACGATGTATACTATCGTGAACAGGATCACAGCATTTGTCATATATAGGATGCATTCAGCCAAAAACAACATTCGGGTATATACGAGTGGTATTAAGAGGAATCCCCGGGCAACAGTGGCAGCAAGAAGCATGCAGCGCTAATAAGTCGGCATGTCATCATCTGCGAGTCCACGCACGCAAAGGCTACGAGACTGAAGTTTGATCGAAATTTCTGCCATTCTTTTTTGCCTGTTTCATTCGGATGGTCACTCTATCTGATGCTCCAGTTTCCAAACAAGTACAGTACTGAGTAGCTTAGATTTGGCCAAGTTGAGTGGCTTCAAAATAAGCTGCTGTTTTTATGTAATATACTGTATGGGTCTCTGGCATGCATTTATGAGGACTGACAGTTTTGTGGAAGCTCTGACTTAACCATAGGGAAGTGAATATTTTTGGCAAAATGTTGTGCCCGTGAGCACTGCAAATTAAAAAATATAATTTTTTTACCACTGAAGGCAAAAAAATAACTATATTTTTTTTCTAGTCCTGTGAAAAATGTTGGCTAAAAAATAAAAATTACTCACTTGGTGGAGTTTTTACCTGTATTCTTAGCATGGGATTAGCGTTAGAGATTTTTGAAAATAGAAAAATTCATCCTTCCTGGGATTTTCCCAACTTAGGCCCTCTAAAATGCTGCCACATATTCCAGAGACCTTCCCAGTTTGACTTTACACGGACTCCGGTTTTTTATTATAGACCTGAACCGACACCCTACCTTTACTCGGGCAACGACAAGTTCCCAATTTAACTTTCATGTAGGCGTCAATGTTTAATTTAAACACCGTGTTTCACTGTAAGCAGTATCGTCAATTCATTATGAGTAAAATGCATTCAGTATCTTCCCTGTTATACAGGGAAGACCATGGAAAAGTAGACCTGCATCCCACAGCATAAATAATTATCATTTGAATGGATTGTTTACTGCATGAAGTAAAACATCACGAAGAACACAAAATTAATGTTAATTCAATTAAAATTTGGTAGATGTCCTGCTTCATGCTTCTATAGTAAGGTTTAAACAGAGCATGCTGAATGGAAAATATAAATACTCATGAGAAATAAACCGTGTCTTTTAACGATGGTGGATTCGATTATGAAGGTATCCCCATGGAAACCAAGCAGCCAGAAACCCAGAAATAAATGCAAAAAACATTATTGTATCACGCATTGTTTTGGATAGATAAGCATTTTTGGGCTGTGAAAAATTTTCAGAGTTTTTTTCCTTTTCCTGCAATTATAGTTGGCTGAGGTCAAGTGCGGGTGAAAGACTCTTGAATGAACAATGAATATTCGAATGAACAATTTGGAGAGGATCTTTGAACAAAATTATGAACAATTATCAGTTTATCTTGGCTGAGTTTTAAACAGATCCTACTGCTGCCAGACAGTTGAACCATCAGTGTACAATAATTTCTTCTGGTCAACCCTGTATATGTATTAACCAAGAAATGCTCAAGAATTTGGGGTTTCCTCCATCGCAACCTATCATTCTGATTATATTTGCAGAAGGAATCCATTGAAAATGATTCCCAGCGACGTCTTGAATCTTCCATCAAGCTACCCATCCGCAACGTCGACCTAACTTGAATGCCCTTTATTTTCATAAAGTTCCACGAATGTTCGGTATGTGAGACAAGATCGTGCCTTACTCAACTCAACCGGCTTTCCTGCGATTCCTGATAACAAACAAACGTTGGGTGAGACGGCTTCCTCCTATTCCGTGTTTGCTTTAGAAGTTTGGAATCGAATTCAGGCTAGAAATTCAACAATGCAATTCATGATGAGTAGAATTTTCTTATTCCTTTTTTTCAAGAGAATTACCTCTACAGAGACTGGAATTTGACTGAGGATTCGATCTTTTGATGTGCGTGAAATATGGTCTCGAAAATAAAGTAACTTTTGAAAAGTCCGGGAACCTGAAGGCAGAGTTGAAGAATCACAACTTATACACGCTATTTTTTCCTAACCTACGCAGAAAAGGATCAAAAGTAGCGTAGATGACCGAATGTCCTCTTGCTGAAAATACTACGAGGAATCCGAACAAAGGAAACTCTGAGCTAAAATAAAATCAATCGTCAAGACATCCTAAGAGCCAACGGAAGGGATGTACAAAATAATTCAAGAATTTCTTGCTTGCAATTCTTTTATCTGCCGACATCACATATTGGAATGAAGCTGTGATGGATCTGCTATAGTATGTATAGCTTCAAAAGAATTCTAAATGACGAATAACGATACGATGAAAAAAAAAAAAAAAACTCTGGAGGGTATTTCAGCTAAATATGTAACGTAAAGCTTACAGGATGTAACGACGGAATCAATAATCAATCCCTATATGCATAGGTATCAAGAACGTTTCGAAAAGAAAAAATGAACGAACGAAAAAAGTGTAATCTAACTTCGAGGACATCTGTCGAACGAAAAGTAAAAGTTTCCTTTCCTGTGCAGAAGAGCAAAGTTTCTTGCCAGGATGATCCAGATCAGAGTGCGATGTGCTCCTTACCCCTCAACGTCATCATCTTCCTTTACCTTTTTTATTATTTTCTTCTATTTTGATCAGCACTCCACGGAATATTATTTGCCAAATTTCACTGCTTGCTAAAGAATTTTCTATGTTACCCATGAACGAAACACGAGATAAGAAAACGATTCTGCACCGGTTTTCCAGCGTTCGGGATTTAAAAAATAAGACCCTGTATATTTCCTATATTTTGATGAGAAAATATTTTCTATTTGTTATCCTACCCAAATGAAGCGGAATTCCCCGACTCAAAAATGTTTCAACTCGCTTTTTATGAGTTCCTTCAGATTCAACTTTACCCTTGTTTTTTTTTTTTGGAAAAGCGGAAAAATGAGGGCATCGTCGTGGCCATGCAGAGATGCCAAGACAGGCATGTTATCAGAAGCGTCGACCATTTTCAAATCGTTGAGAAAAAAAAATGTGACATTTTATCTCCATTTTCTAGTGGTGCATTCGACGAAGCTATGTAAAGTTCAATTCTAATTGCACTATGACGCCCTGATTGCTGCAACATTGCAACTCATATCTTTTTTAAAACTTTTTTTTGGGCAAAAACCTGAAGCTAACATGATTCAAGTTATAGTTGCTGTAATCACTATTTATTTTTCAAGAACAGCCACAAGTACCGTTGTGACTGTAAAAAGAAGCAACTCGATCTCGTTTTAAAAGCAGGTTCTCCGAAAGACGCTTATGCATCGCACTTCGATAAAATGATTTTGAAAACTTGGGAGGGAAAATCGTGTTTCATCTGGACTTCTTCGATAAAATTTGCTGCTTCTGCGTGCGCCGTTCAGTCGTTCTTCGCCCACAACCTTGAACTGAAGCAAGTGTGTGTGTCCCTTTGTTCTGTACTTGTGCTGTGAAGGGGAGATGGAAATGCATGTTGGTGCTTGAACCCGTGTCTCAGTATTTTTCCACGCGTACTCGGTACACAAGGTTCGATTTGTGGTGTTGATTTCATAATGGGTGCTGGATTGTGCGAGGTTTCGGGAGAATGTCACAATACGAACATCAAGATCACTTTAGTTGGGCCAGCCCTGGCAGCGGTGATAATCGCTATCGCGCAACTGGTGTACGCAGTGAACAAAATGCCGTACCCAGGGCCCAACAAACTCGGAGAACCTCCCGCGGAAGGGTTTAAAAGTCAGTCTCGTTTTCTTTTTACTGAAAACTGCATGATGTATTGCGTTCGAAAGGGGAGTATTTAGCCATACAATTTATTTATCTACTGTGAATTATATACTGTATAGGACACAACCCCGTGATTTGGAAGGTCGATATCGCACTGAGCGCAATTGGCATCTTATCGATCATCGCCCTGTCGGCAGCTTATGTCTGGGTCATTCGCTCCAAACGGTACGCATAAAACTTATTCTTATCATATGCCAGGCGTTTTAAAAGTTTAAAATTTGTTTTCAAGTTCAGTACTATTGAGCCTTTCTGAATTTCAACGTGTGATTTACTGATCAGAATACCGTTAATTTCAAGCTTTTGTCCTCAAAACGAAATTAAGTGCAGTTACATCATCATTTGAATATAAAGTGCACTATTTAGTGGATTACTGGTTCGCTTTTCTTCAATCAAAAGCAATTGTCATGCACCGGCGACATCTAGGAGAGATAAAATAACTACTATTTGTTCTTACATGCATTATGTTCCGTTGCTACAGGTACAGTACAGTATTCCGAAACCCTTGTCGATTAACTGACAATACGATGGTGGTCCAAACGAGTACAGTATTGCTCATTTGTGCAAATCAAGCACAATCGCATCAGACTTACTAAGTGACTATTTATTTTTTGATTATCGTGTATGCATCCGATGTATGAGTTTTCCGATGCAAAATGGCCTTTGAATTCAAATGAAAACTTTTTTTGGTGTATAGAACGGTTATCTCAAACTTCGAGTACCTGAAATGCCGAAAATCCCTCAAACGAGAATTCAAGTAAAGTAGAAGGGGTAAAATTGGATTCGAAAAGTATTTTTGTTGACTTCGCCATTTTGGGATCAAGGATGTAACCTGATAAGCAGTGCCTAAAAATATTTCCAAGGCTAGGATTTTATTGTATTTTTTGCTGAAAAGTGGCCTCGAAATTATAAATGAACGAAGCGTTTTTCGAATCAACTTTTATGATCACCTCATAGAAAAATGTCTTCTTTAAAAATATATCTTGTAATTGCTTGTGCATTTTAGGAAGGTCAAGAAAGGCTATATGATCGCAGTCTTGACTTTCATGGTGCTTTTGACGCTGGCTCTGGTCATCTTCAACATAGTTGCTGCTGTTCACGTCAGCGGAAATGACATTGTGATCCACGTGTTGAACATCGTCATATCCCTTATTTTATTCGCCGTTGTTGTCGTCGAAAGCAGAACACTTCTTGAGGGTCGTAGTTTCGTTCCACAAAATCGCGACGAATCCCGCGAAGACGATGAGAAACTTTAGTCGGGAATTATCATGGACTGGGTGGGTACATAACTCTTGTATTGTTTGTAAATTTGATTGATTTATACGACGAGAAAGTGTAGAGAAGAAAAATTGCGTGAGACTTTTTGAGTATGAATTTTTTTCGTTCCTGTGCATTGGTCAAGAAGCGACGAACACATTATTTTTGTCCTTTTTTCTCCGCGTACGTGAATAAATGTATTTTTTATCTGACCATATTTGTTTCTGCTAAAGAAAGCATCGAAGCAACGCAGCATGTGATATGCTTTTCATCGATTATACTGTACCTCGGAATATGACGATTTTTAATAAAGCAGTACAATGATGGTAATAATTCTTCACGGGTAGTTTCAATGATCAATTGTTATCCATGAAACCACGAAAATATTTTCAGTAATTCTACAATTTAATGATGTGGAGCACAGAGGTCGAGAAAAGGTACATAAGGCTGAGTTTGTCATCCACATAAGAGAGGAATAAAGGCGGAATATTCTGACAAGAAAGCGAGAAATAACTTTCAGAGCTGCTGAGTTCGTGGCAACAGGCGAAAGAAGTATAAAAGAAGGGCAAACAACCTTGTCAAAAGCTGCAATATGGGTGCAAGTTGGCCTCAGCTGCTGCTGACTTCCGTGGGCCCCTTAAAACTTTCTGCACTCAAATTATTTTTAGCTTGTCTACGTGATTGCATCTTTTATAAGAGGGAAATAACAAGGTGAAGCATTACATACTGTATAACCTTGAGGAACTCAATTATTTGGTCTTTCGCAGTAATTTTCTTTCTCTTTTGAAGTTGGGGAGTGAAATTACTGATGCTCCATTCGAGTCCACGTCCAGCTTCAAACATCTATTATTTTTGAATTCTAAACACTTCAGTTCATAGATCCTGGTTGTCACTTCTGTATGTTTGTGCTCATTCGTTTAGCAAGAAATACGAATTTAAACCTGACGATTTTTGTTTTTGAATGAATTCGCATTGAGGGAAAACACCCAAGATGAAAGAAGAGGAGATAAAAAAAATTGTGAAGGAGGAAACGATTGGGCTTTTCAACTCCACGTTATCTCCTCGAACTTTGTGGAAATAATTAAGCAAAATCTTGATAATGCACATGTTACATATTTAATCCTGACGATTTTGGGTAATTCATTGATTTCAAATTGAAACAGGAGCCTGGATGAAAGAGGCAATGAGAAAAATTAGAGGAGTGAGCACTAATGAGTTTTTGAGCCTCATTTAATTTCCTTGATTGAACTTGGAAGTGAAAATAATGCAGCGAAATCTTGATATAATTCACATCAAACACAATTAATCCCAAAAGAAATCTTCGATTATTCATCATGAAAAGAAACAACATCCAGGATGAAAGAAAGAGATACCAAGAAAATTTAGGGGAGTGAGCGACGATGAGTTTTTGTACCTCATTTCGTGTCCTTAATTGAACTTGAAAATATAAATACTGTATTTTAACGAGATCTTGATATAATCTCCATCGAAAAAATTTCATACTGAAAAATTGTGTTCTTCGATTACTTCTCGTAAAAAAAACAACATCCAGGATGAAAGAGACAAGGTAACAAAAAATTAGAGGAGCGAGCGATACAGATTTCTAACCTTATTCGTCCAAATTGAACTTGAAAATAATTTAGCGACATTCAGACATTCAGACGATGCACATCATAAGCAATCAATCCTAACAAATTTCATTCCTCAACTCTTCCCATGAAGAAAAAAAAACACCCAGGATGAAAGAGCCAACATCATGGAAAAATTAGAGATGAATCACCCGCGTGAGCTTTTGAAACTTTGCCTCATGTCCTTGAACTTCAAAGTGGGAATAATTCAGTGAATTCCTGATGACTCAGCAGTTTCATAAATGGACGATGAAGGAAAATCTGATTGTTGAAAAAGAATCAAATTAATTTTTCGTGACAGAAAAAATGAGAGCAATGTCGACTTTCAGATTAGCCCGTTTTCAGGCGCGCATTTTCCGTCGCTTGCCTATAGCTTGTAGTTGTCGACTGCTGCTACGCAACGGCAACAGGGTCAGTCCACTGCACGACCCATGCGGGTCACACTTCACTTGGTGCTCACTGTCTATATTACGTGTGTCGACGGAGTGGAAGTCGACTCCGCAAGCTAGCAGTTCTGCCTGTCGACACGGAAGGCGAACTTTCTTCCAAACTCAACCGTGCTAGAACTGGAAGAGAAGAGTAGTAAACGACTGCTTCGTTTTCCTGCATCAGCTGTAGTGAAAAGCCTTTCAGAACACTCTTTACTTTGAAATTACGCACTGCAGAAATCAAGGCTCTTCTTTCAAGTGTTTCCTTAATTATCAACTGTGAAGTCTCGAGCAATTAAACACTCCCACAACCTCCGTGCATTTTTCGGCAAGCAATAATTGAATCAAATATGTGGATACTAAGATGCATGACAAGAGTTTTTTAATACATTTTTTTAAATCACGAGTACCTTTTTCTGAAAAATATCAAAACAATAGACCAAGGTGTTTGCGTGTGTGTGGTTTATTAATATGAGAGAAAAAATACCCCCGTTTTCTGGGTGCAACTGCAAGTCATAGTTTCGGTTGGTGAAAAGAATGAATGAATCCTTTTGATGGGAAGAAATAACAGTATGGTAGAACTCTCTGCACCGTAATATTTTATCCTGCATTTGCCATTGCTTTCTTCATTTTATCTTCAAACGTGATAAGTTTTGAAGAGAAGACAAGCTTCATATAAATTAGACTGATTGAAAAGTATTTTATCGCGTCCCTCATGAGGAATCGACTTTCAGAAACAAAAGCTATTCAATATGGCATGGTTCGAGCACGAATAATTTATGCTCGAATGACAGACCTTTGAGTATTGTGAAAGGAAATTATGACCCAACCCACATCTTTTTGGGTGAGGCGTATACCGCGATTCATTGAAAGACTGCCAATATAGGCTTGAACATTGTTATTTTAAAAATTCCGTCAAATTTGTCAAGAATTCAATTTCCAAGATCAAAATATATTTCAAAAGTAAAAATTTACAAAATTATTCGTTTGTGATTATGAAATTAAATTTAGTCACCCCCTGACTTACGGAAGATTTTACCCATCTTGACGAGTGATCATTTTTCGATTGAACAGAACTTCTATTGTTGACGTGCGGAAAAATTGTTCAAAATCCCCTATGTATTTCAAGTTCTGACCAGGTCATATTTTCACAAAATTGAGTGCACATGCAATTTTTATGTTCAAAATGAAAAGCGGCGAAAAATGCTTTGTTACCTTGATGAATTCAAATGCATCGCATTGAAAATATGACAAGCGAAGGCCAAACATTATAGCAAGCTCTGTGAACGCAAGCAATTCTTGAATCGATTCCACGATTTCAATCATATGAAGTACGGTAGACGGAAATACATACAGCAGAAAAAATTAAGCAATATTTTAGGCATATATTCTGACACTTGCCTTTTTGCGTGCGTCGTTTCAAGTACTTTAAAAGCGGTCGCAAAAATCAACAGTCATGGCAGTCGACACTCCGCACAATTTATCAGATCTTGCTTCAATTATATTAGAAAATTTTCCACGTCGCCATCTTGATTTCTTTGGGCAGCGTTTTTTTTTTTAAGTTCAAGACATTTTGGTGTTGCATATCCGTGTTCTTCACCACGACAAGCGAACCAGACCCGAATTCTACGCTTTTTTTTCTGGGGTCGTGGGGGAGGTTTTTTCCTTCGAGTCTCACATGTTGCATTCGTCCTCTTTGAAGCTTTGTGTCATTGTGTGCGTGATGATTGGGTTCCACGTGACCTACTATATTGCTAAAGCTCAAGTTACCATCTGCAACTGTTACCACGACGTGTTTGCCTTCGACTTGAGCATGCAACATTTAGAAGCGTTAATTGAGCGACGGTGGAAGCGTGATGGATTTGACGGAAAACAGTTTATAGGAAATGCTTGTACCTGTTTGACAGGCTTTCGAACTAACGTGAAATAAGCCTGACTTGAAAAGAAAGCGGCTTTTGTCCGAATTTCCTGTCACAATTATTCAAATTCTCGTTCGAGCATACATTTTTCGTCGTTCATATCAAACATGAAGATTCTTATTTGGGTTTGAAAATATTGCGATCGCAATATCTATGGGAATAAAAAAAAAGTTCATCTGTTTCTGGCGGTGGAACATGAAAGCGATTTCTATGGAACTATTTTCATACTCCAGTAATGTATTTAGGACTCAAAATTCCTGTCGGATGCGAGAAAAAATTGATCGATCCATCTAATACAGTATACTAATTTATGAAGCTCCAGTCATCTTGAAAGATTCTCCATGTCTCCAAGGATGACTCATGAGATGCACTAAAGAAAAGACAAATTTAGTCAAAATTAAATTGTTATCACTAGTAATTGATTGGACCGTATATGAGCACGTGCGAAATGTAAAATTTTGCAAGTACAGTAGTCGAATGAAGGAGGAGGGGTTTTAAAAGTGGGAATTAGTGTTTTTATATTGAGCTCAAACTCATTCAAGTTTTGAAAAGTTTTTGTCCTTGTTGTCAGACAGACATTATTGTGTTGGGTCTCAGCAGTCAGCAGTCAAACATATATTTAACTGAAAGAAGCAGTCTTTCGAAGCAATATTTTTGGAATTGAAACAGCGCTACAGTCGAATACGATCAAGTCAAACATGTGTGAAATTTCAAAATATTCCATAAAATTTTTGTGTGCGTATAATAACCATAAAAAAAGGATTTTTTGCTACGACGATAAGTTACCAGAAAACGTCTCTTCGAAGGGAAAGAGTCCAACCCTAAATAAAACTAAACATTTTCTCAAGTTTTCAGATGTCGGTCGTTTTCAGTCCCTCGTTTTTGTCACATCAATATTCAACTTGGATTCAATCATCAGAAAGCGTCAGCTTGAATTCCAATTTTAATTTTTACCCTGGATTTGTATACAAATAACTGTAAATCTAAGTGTCAGTATATAGAGAGCAATCGCCTCATCAAAATCAAGAGCGTTCATTATAGAGATTGTTGAGGCAGTAAAATTCTCATTATTGTCCAGGGTTTTATCGCTCGAATCATGTTTTCTGCTTGACAACAAAAGCGCATAGAAATAGTCCTTTATAAGGGTGATTCAATTAGCTGTCGTCTCTCATCGTCTCCAAACGTTACACTCAATCTCGAAAATCGTTTTTGATTTTACCCATTTTCTTGCAAAACCTGGGTTCGGTAGCTTTCCAGAAATGAATTCTGCTCGTAGTTTCAACCTCTGATAAGTTCTCTACATTTTCTACTATAGCGATCAGCTAGTACTGTAATTGTATCTTACATAGTTGAGATTA